TCAGCGAAATGTGAGCAAGTCGACTACATTTCGCTTTATATGAAAGCTACGTGTCAAGCGGTATCCTACTGCACTCTCTCGAATTAATTAATTTTCAACCTACTTCGAAAAGAAGGTTCTAATTGCGTTTGTATTTTTTTTTGTGTTTTTTTACCTTATAACTCCGTCAATTCTAAACTGATTTGGACTTTTTTTATCTGAAAGGATATACAAATTGGAACCATAGAAATTTTATCAAAATCGTTTCAGTTATTTTGTTTTTAAATTAAAGTACCAGTTACTACAGTTACGCCACATTTAAAGTATTTTTTGTGGAACAGTCTTAATTAACTTTTAATAGTTAATAGGTATTTTATGGGAATAGGCATTAAATGTATGTAATGTCTTATACATTACATTATTTATTATATTTAATACCCATATATACCGAATATATACCGAAGGATAATTTGGATCTACCTTTTAATAAATTTAAAACTGTTATTAAAAAACACTTATTGAACAAAGTCTATTACACATTAAGCGATTACTTGAATGATTAATGTGCGAGGTGTTAGTCGATGATGCATGGGCTTTTTAATGATCATGCAATTTTAGATATGTATAATTAAATAAATACATTTAAGAGGGCCCGATGGTCTAGAAGCTCAGAATTGCATAAAATTTCACATTTTTTTTTATATCTAAATAACAACCAAAACTTATGAAACATTTGAAGGACTATTCAATTACTATTTAAGTATACAAAAATCATTATTACAAAGAAAAAAATATTTTTACTATTTTAAAGATGGCGTTGAAGTCAGTCCTCTTAAAAAAAAGAACCTGGGTGGCGCACGATGATTTAGCTCTTCTATGGGCCTGAAATAAAAAAAAAACAAATTTTTAATCATTATAAATAAATCTATCGCAGGATCTAAAATGAAAAAAAAATATACTAACTTATTGTAGCTCTTGAAACTAAAATATTTATCTATACTACAACTCTGGTATAGAAACAAGCAGATGCGTTCCGCCGAACAATAGAATTACTCACCGGGCCGACCGGCTAGACTACCTACTTTGGCGCTGACCTTTTAAATGGGTTTTACAATATAAAATACTGAGATTATTGTCACCAAATTTTAACTGTATATTTTTTAAATATGTACTATACTTTCGAAATATAAAAAAAAATCAATTTTTTGTAATTTCTATACCACTGGATTCCCATAATGTTAACAAAGATTTAAAAGAGTATCTATTGACTGTCTTACGGATTTTTCTTAACAGATAATAACTTTCCGAACCATGCATTCTTAAAAATATATATAAATACTAGCTGACTCGGCAAATGTTGTATTACCATATACGTTATTTCGAGAATTATATATGAAAATTTATCCTACTACAATTATTATATTCGATTGCTATCTTGCAAGCCTATTGCTATATAAAAATCGCAATTAAAAAACAGGGGTTGATCGTAAAAGCGTGAAAATTTGAATTTGTTTTTTTCAATGCTAAATCATAATAAAATAAAAGTAAAAAAAAATTGTCAAAAAAATAAAAATAAAATATTTAGGGGTAGGTCACCCTTATCATTGAGGGGTATGAAAAATAGATATTGGCCGATTCTCAGACCTACCGAATATGCATACAAAATTTCATAAATATCGGTAAAGCCGTTTCGGAGGAGTTTGGTAACAAACACCATGACACGAGAATTTTATATATTAGATATATCATCATTTGAGCCGTTAACTGTCAACTGCTGTACATAACCCTTCCCCGTAACGGGAGTTTTACCATTAGTTGCCACGCTTGGCAAGCGGGTTGGCAACCGCAGTTATATATATATATATATATATATATATATATATATATATATATATATATATATATATATATATATATATATATATATATATATATATATATATATATATATTATTAAGATTAAAAATTGACAAACATATTTTGCTGTTATAAGAAAGTATGTTATATACGAACCAATCAAGTCTAGTAGTCGAGGCAAATTACTAAGCTACACGCCACGATGCCTTATACTTGAGCTTTATATATTCATCTTGCTGTCAAGATATAAACGGGTAGCAACAAAAGTTCCTTACTACGAAAGCAGAGCCCCGTGAGCCGCTTATTGCCCCTACGCTTCGCAGCTTATGGACGCCGCGACCAGAATGTTCTATTTACCCAGACCAGTCCCTATACAATATTTTCTTTACAAAATATATCTAAATTTATATTATCATGTTTCTAATTCTCTTTGCTGTTATATAAAGTATATAGTTTCAATTTTGCTTTACATAACTTTATTGATTTATCCACCACTCTAATATTTGTGAATTTAATCTTTTTTTTTTTTGGCATCCTTTATCAATGTGTAATTATATTTAAAAAAAATATTATTTATAAATAAAATAAATAATAATATATTTAAAAAAATGTGTGAAATTAACACAAAACACTATGAGTATATTTTTTTATGTTAAAATATAAAATGTTTTCCATTCATATCGATATTTATATAATACATTCGCATTCTTCCCACACGTAGCAATGATGAGATGTCGTTACACGTCTAAGCTTTAAAGACGGATGAAAAACATGTAGGTTTTCCAAGAGAATTTGTTATCTAACCATTCTTCCACACGAAGAGAAAGCGGCTTATTCAATACTTGATTTATGTAAACGCTCGTGTACAGGAAAGACGATTTGAATAGAGCTTCCCGTTAACTGTGTCGAACCTGAAAGCTTTTCATAAATGAACCTACAGCAACGCTTCACCTCAGTGCAAGGTGGCTAAAAGCCGCTCCTTGTTGTAGAAGAAACTTTACACTTTGTGCGACGATGGAGCTGCCTCCAGCTCACCCATTGTGTCAGAAACACATTAGCGCCTTGATATTACTTACTCTTACTAGTCATATTTAGAGGATTTGTACCGTGTCGAAACTTGCTACTCGTTAATCGATATCCGTGTGACCTTAATTTACCTTTTTCAGTTGGAATTTTAGATATTTGTGTAAAATACGAAACAGAACTGTAAGTAACCGTGCATGCTTTGTAATCGAGTGTCCCAAATACATTATAGGTTGAAAATTGAAACTCCCAATAGCTTCAATCGTATACAGTTTTATTTGAAATGTGTATATTATGTATATATTAACTGAAAAAGAAAACCACAAATATTTTACGGTTGTATGAATATTTTCCAAGTTATTTCAATTTCTATTTATTGGTATTGTCCTGTTTCAACTTTACCTGTTATTTGGCCCATGTTATCCTATTACGCTCAAACGTAATCGAACTGTTATAAGAAAATATTGAAGCAATTGGTTGTAATGTGATTGTTAACGAAAAATCATCCAGTAAAATATCAAGAGAACGTTAATGGTACATTACGATGGCACTGTGATTTATACCTCCCTAATTTACAGTGACATAATGTAGAGGAACGTAACAGCGGAACTATTAAATTTATAGATACATTAGATTCGTAGGTACTTTTATTTGAGAAAAATAATAGGGATATGACAGTGAAATTTTAGAATATGGAGGTGTAACACCATCATCATCATCATATCAGCTTTTAACTGTCCGCTGTTGGACGTAAGCCTCGCCCTTGGAGGATTTTTCCAGTAGTTGCCACGCTTGGCAGGTGGATTGGCAATCGCAGTTAGGCTTTAGAGATGTTTTGAGAAGGATGCTGCTTCGCTTTCCTTAGTCGCCTCTTACGACACATGCCGGAACCACACAGCCACACCATAACAACATAGTCCTCAATAACAGTAACGTATGACGGATACCATGATGTCCATAGTGTGTATCCATGTCTATAGGCGACAGTTATCATTTTCTATCGAGTAAAACAGAGACTTTTTAAAAGAGAGAATTCAAATATTTTTAATTTAATATATCTACGAAACATCTCATCTTCTAATTCGTTGTTTTGTCGCAATTGAAATGGTTGTTTCTGTAGCAAATAAACTTATTGTAATTACTGCTGAAACATGACCAGAAATAAAATCAGTTTTAACACTGATGGGCGCGGAAGTCATTTATGAACGCAACTCCCAAGAGCATATAATTGATTAAAAAAAAATGCTGCAATCGTAATTTACGGAACATGTGATTGCGGCAAAAAAATTTATGTTCTCGAAATGACGTACCTAACTCCATCACTCTGTTACATCGCATCATATAGTCTGTCCATCATTCACAGATGAGTTTCCTGTTCAATCAGATTGAACACGTTTACACATTATTTTCTGTCTGTTTTTATCTCGTACAGTTCATGTCACAATGTTATTTTGTGTAAGCGACGATTGTTCTTGGAAATATAAATTTTATTTATGTAGATACAAAATATCGCAATATTTGTCTAGATATACGAGTCTAAAAAAAGAGGGTTCTCGATTCAAATTTATTTTTGTGTGGAACTTTGCCAAATCAGTTGAGAAGAAATTTGTATTTATTTTTAATCAATAATTTTAACCTGGTCATCGTGTACCTACTTAATAATTTAGATTGATGCATTGTACAGTTTTTTCTCTAATCTTAAATCGTAAAAATATTTAGAAAATTTCTTGTCATCATTAATTTTTCAAAATACTGGTTGAAAAATATACTGACGAATGTAATATCCGTTATTCGGAAATTAAACTCACACGTCGAGGATTATGAACATAGAATAATTGGTAAATAGGTTTTGTCTTAGTTTGGTTAAAATTTACCATTCATGTGGCTTACGTTTATAAAGAAGTCCCCCCTAATAAATTCTTTTTTTTTTATTATTTAAAAAATTCAGAATTAAAGAAAACATATTCTATTAACTTTCATTAAGCACGTAGGTTTATATTAATGCTAAATACATAGAGACTATTCAACTTGTATTAACATCATGCAAAAAGTATTTTAAAAGGTTTTTTAAAAAAAATGTGCCAGTTAGAAATATCTTTATATTTTTCCTGTAATATTTACATATAACATTGTTATTTCAGATTTATCGCTTCACAAACTACAGAGATAAGGGGGAATGGTAAGTAGTTTTTTTTTTTTTCATTTGCCGTTATAAAATTTCTAGCTAAAATTTTATCCACTTTTAAAAAATGCAAATGAACTTTTTTCATATATCAAGCCATACCAACATAGAAGTGGGACAGACAAACGGACGGATGAAGGCGAACATATTGCAATCACATTATATAGCCCATATTAATACATAGTTAAAGACTGTGTTCCATAAAAAAAGACGTTAATTGTGACAAAACCATTTTTTTTTTTTCTAAAAATTAACCATTGTGGTCAAAAAATCATTTTTGTCTAAAAGTTAAATTACTAAACCGATTTTAATAAATTATTCTATGGGACCAATCTGTAAGTCCTTATATCCTTTCAGGTAAAAATAAAATCCCAAACGGTTTATGACTGACGGAGTAATGAGGTCACAAACGGTAACGGTGATAAACATAAAAAAAATACAACCGAAATAAAAACCTTCCTCTATTTGAGTCGGTTGAAAACCGGAATGTGTGAATAAACATCGTGACCACTATATATCATGAACTCATATAATCACCACTAGTTACCGTCGCACCTGCGAAATATACATTACTAAAACCATTTATACTTTCACGATCACGACATATTCATATTTCTAGAACGTTATTTACTAACCAGAGCTCCCAAATCAGAGTTATTATAAATAATTCAAAGCTGTCGACACATCGTTTCTCTACCACATAAAATTGTTATGCTACAAATTTTACGTGGTCGGAAATAAATAGGTATTACATCACCATTAACTTTACGTTTGTTTCAATAAAAACTATGCATAACACTGGTAAATCAGCGTAAACAAACGCTAGTCTGTTAGACTACTTAAGTATTTTATGGCGACTGTCAGTAGATGAAATTTTTTATGTTCTTATATTTGTGAAAGAAGTATAAACATTCACGTATATTTTATCAAATATATGAGTATGATTTAAATAGAATAATGGTCTATAAAAGTAAAGATAAGGCTCCCTTCAGCAGTTTTCATTAATACTCTGTATTTATATAATATATAGCACAAAAATATTTTATATAATATTATTAAAGGGTTAATGGTTATATTGATTGGTGCCTTTTGTAAAATTTATATCTTCATTTTATCTCAAACAAGAGAAGTAGCAAGTAACTATGTCTCCTGTCATGATTTTACCTAATATCCATTAGCAGACAAGAACATTATTAAAAGTTACTCTGAGTATTTGAATTTGATATTAGAAAAATGGAAATCTATTATTAGTAGTACTTATTTGATGGTATATTTAGACTGTTAAATTTGAAATTATTAAGTCTTCTATTTATAAATTAGTAGACGTAATAAAATGACTAAAATCTGACTGGTTAGACAGTTTGTTTTGTTGTTGATGCTATAATTAAAACTAGATACCTAATCATTGAAATCTAACTTTCAACTGTTACTCATGTGCATTATTTATACAAATAACCTTCCCCCCCCCCTTAGAAAAATGGTGATAGTGCTGGTATTTTGTTCTATAATATTGATTTATATTATATATACAACGAATAAATTGATAAATGAAAACTCTTTATTGTTCCTTTCAAACAATGATACAGACCATAAAAATTTACTATATGCATACAAACAAAATTAATAATTACTTATATATACTTAATTAAATCAAGATAAGGCAAAAATGCCTTATCGTTTGATAGCGATGTCTTCCAGGCAACCTTAGGATGGAAAGAAATAATTAAAATGTACTATATATTTCAGTAACAACAGTAAATGCACCATATTAATTAAATAGACCTATAAGAATTTTCTCTATCTCTACTTTCTATCACCTTTATAAAAAGAAATTAGCTAATGATGATAAATTTTTTCCGTCGTTTATTTTCATTTCTTATGTTGTGTGATAAATTTGTGACATTCCCTATTTTATTGTCAATTTTATTGAGAAAAAGAAGTCGTTCTACGCAAATAATTAAATAATGTATTGTTTTTGAAGAGGTTGTTCGATTTAATACGATAATAAAATGTCTATTGGTCTGCTGCTTTCATGCAATTAGAATACTTGAAAGAAAGTAGCAAAACAAATGAAAAATTTGTTTAAGGATTTATATACATTTGTGATTAAATAGCTTTTACCCGCGACTTAGTTCACGTGATCGTAATATGTTTACTGCCCGAGATAAAAAGTAGCCTATGTCCTTCTCCATCCCATATAGTATGCAAATTTCGTAGTACTTGGTTAAGCTATTAAGGCGATATGAGGTAGCAAACTAACAAACAAACTCACTTTCATATTTGTAATATTAGCAAGGATTCTATTAGTTTTTTTCCTCACCGTATGTGCCCCGGCATAGAATGGGCCACCCCTTTCTTCCTCGTGGGTGTCGTAAGAAGCGACTAAGGGAGGGCCAGGGATGGACAGCAGCGTCCCTGTTAAAACATTTCTAAAAGCCTAACTGCAGTTACCAACCCGCCTGCCAAGTATGGTAACTACTTGCAAAACTCCCCTTATGGCGAAAGCTTATGTCCAGCAGTTGACAGTTAACGGCCGAAATAATAATATAATAACTATTAGTTTTTAAGTGACTAACAAAAAGAGAACGATATCGATTCATCTGTATTTTTAGTGGCTATGTTATACAATTCCGTCGCCCATTATCAACCGATTTTGTTAATTCTTTTTAAAAGCCCTATTACTCTTGTATTGATAACTTTAATTTTGTGATTATTAAAACTACAATTGTTCTTTTCAGAGCAAAAAAGTTTATTTCCAAGCAAACTTTCCTAATATATACGATTCCACGTTCTAAATTCAAATATTGTCAATGTAACATGTTCATGAAAGATTGTATTGTTTCTTGCTATTTTTTATTTGCGGAACATAATGTACTTGTTGCATATAGAAACGGTGTTCTAAGATTTGTAACTGATCTAAAACTACGACACAAAAAGTAGCCTTAGAAAGACTGACCCAGTAAATGGTGATCGATCTTTCTTGCTACAATAATATCACGTCCGCACAGTTCGTCAGATCCATACATTAATTAGGTGCGGATTACCGTCCGTCACACAGTCATTTGGGGTGATCTGTCTGCTCAGTAGCTTGTCTTTTTATTCATAGTCAATAGTTATTTTTATGTATATTTCATATGTCCCAAGCTGCATGAAAATATAAATTTACCTACTTATTTCAGTTTCCATTATAAACTAAAAAAAAATTGTTGTTTGTTGTATAATTGTTAGATGCAAACGGTTGTCGTGTCATTTACAGAAGCAGATATCATTGTTTTATACATCATAACATAACATGAACCTATTATTGTTACGTATAAAATTATGTGTTATAAAAAATATACATAGATAATATATATGTATGGTTGAAACATAGTTTATATATATATATATATATATATATATATAGCGATTGATTGGTTGTTTTGTGGTATACTCGTAAACTTTACGGTCGTCATCTTTCATCGTCAATCAATGTGTTCTAATTTTACTATCTTCCACAAATCTTTGTTTTCAAGATAATTTCGTTTCCAATATTTAATAGTAGAGTCAGGACCAGGCTTCGAGATAGGTAGTAATTCTCTAATTGTTAAAAAGTACCAACCCATGTTACTTACCGATAATACCTAATGTAATAATAAGTGAAAATATTACCTAATATAATTATAAATAACTGAAATAATTTTGTACCTATGATTGCTAAAGCAGCTTATTTCATCATCAGAATACATTAACCTTATCCTAAATTGATACATAGATTACTTTTATCCTAATCAGGCGAGCAAAGTAGCAAAACTGCAACTTTATACGTTAACCGCCTAATAGCGATGACCAAATCCGGATTGACATAATACGATTATATAAAGTCAGTACTTAATAACATATTTTCTTACATTTGCACTACGAACTGCAAATAATAGGACGACATGAAGTAACGTAACAAAATACTGACATACCTACACAATTTGTCAAACAAACGTGAGTATACCATTAATAAAGGGAAACGAATCTGCCGTGCAAGACAAAGAAGCCGGTATCAGTATTTATTGGCGTGCTTAGTATTAATCGGGTCGGATCGTGCTCTGTATCGCTGGGTGCCGGGAGAACGTTGGCAGCGGCGAATGGATGGACTGTCGTGGTTGGAACGCGCCTAATTTTTCCTTAACATACAATTTTTCTTTCGTAGCGCGTAGCGTTTTCGTAGCTACGCCCGCCCCTGTAGGTGCTTCTCACGCTGCGCTGCTATCACTTTTACCGTCGCTATCAGTACTTCTGTCGCTTCAGTCAGTATGCCCCCAGGCTCGGCGGAGGTCAGACGTATTGCGTGCTGCGTCCCCGCCTGCTCGCGTACGAAATGTGTGACAATAAGTGTTGCTTCCTCTTTGTTATCTAATATTTTGATGTGTTTATAAACAGATGTCTGCTATACCATAGTTACACCTAAGACTAAATAAATCGAATTCTAGCTATTGTGTCATAATTATACAGTAAATTTTCGCGAACATAATATACATGTGATAACCTCGTAACTATCAATAAAAGGGTAAGAAATTTACTATTGCATTTTGATAATGAACGTTATGTATCTTTAAATAACGTTTTTTGTTGTCATTATTTTTAAGTTTAATTAATGTAATAATATAAATTAATTAAAAAAAATAGAATATACACCAAATTAGATTTCTTTCCCTTATGTTTTTAATACAGCACATTTGACTTTCTTTCTAATATGGTTTTACATTTGCTTGTGGTTTCCCATAGTATTTGATGAGTCACTCCGTCAGCGACCCTAATATAAACATTTATAACCGTTTCCCCTCTTTATCTTCGTTTATTAGCTTATAATAAAATTATTTACTTTTAAATGACTTCAAAGAGAAGGTTCTTAACTCTCCTGTACGTGTATGTATACTCGTATTTCTTATTATTATATATATTATGCGATGCTTTCAGCAATTTTGAGCCGATTTAAATTTTTTTTTTTTTTTTTTGTAATCGAT